TAAATTCGCGTGCAACTTAACAAATAGCACGAGTTACCTCACCTGCAACGTTGGGTAATAATGCAGGATTTGTTTTAATGCCCTCCGTGCAGCAGACTTGCTTGTTGCAGTGTATTTCAATATCATGAGCTACCTCATCTGCAACCAATCCAGCACGGATTGCTGGTGCACTGCACAATAATGCAACTGCATGCTCGACAACCCGCTCTAAGAGGCAACAAAACAGGACTTAAAGTACTAGTTCGGAACTTATATATAGTGTATCTGGTGCTGTGGTATGGTATGTACCTTTTGCCATCTTTTAAAAACGAATACAGGAAGGAGTAGTTAGGGGAAATGCACCCCCTCGGAAGAACAAGTTTACTTGGGAAGCATACACAATGCAAGGGCAAGCCATACACTGTTGTCTATTAAAAACCCTGCTGTTTTAACCTAAACCTGACGTTGTCTTATGCCAAATAACATATACTGTATGTGCAATAATATATATATCCTTATACATTTTATAAGTTACCTGCTCTTAGTACTAGTATTAGCTCTTGGTACATAAGATATTAACAGCTTTTGATATATTCACGTTACAATCATATTCAATGATACAACTATACATTGTTAGTAGATATTTATATCCTAAACGTGTACGTGCTTGCTGTACAGTATTTATTTATTTATTTAAAGATGTTACATTGGTAGAAGATATATCAACATGAGCTTGCAAGCTCCTCACCGGCAGTGCAATGAAAAAAACAGTTCTTAAAAGAAAAAATTCTACTGAGGAGATATGTTACTGTAGTTAACAAACATACGCATGCAACACACAAAGAAAAAAGGAGCATGGCGGATGGAGTCGAACAAGTACAGCAATAAAATGCAAAGATATGGAAAGATATGTCTGGATGCTTGAGTCTATACTGTCGGTAGAGTGCTCGATGCATTAAGTTGCAGAGCGTAATAAATTGTAATTGCGTAAGCGTGAAACTCGGAGTAACAGCTAAAAGTGATGTCTTGTCTTTAATTTATCTACAGACTACAATTTATATATATATCTATATATATATAAATTATATATACATGTATAAGGATCAGATGCAAAAGTGATACAAGTATCAGACATTATGGAGAAAGGAATACAGTAGCAGCTGAGTTGAATTGATTGATTCATTTCGAAGCACAGCCCAGTTTATTGCATTTTTATTAAAACGCTAATTCCAGCGCGATTGAATTTCATTCCAGACAGGCATTTCCATATTCGTTCCAGGCTTCCTGACCTAACTAAATGAATCCTAATTTGGCTAAACATTTTTCAGACCAATTTAGCCAAATTGTAAACTTTTTTTTTGTCCAGCTCAAACCCTGCAGTAGAGAATAAAAACAAATTTAATTGATTTGTCGAAATGTCGATTTACTACACTATAATCCCTAATTACACATAGTTTATGTATATATACGTATATATATATATATATATATTAATAAAAAAAACAGCAACAGAGCATCAGCATCCTGGAATGACAAACATGTATGGATATCGACAGACACACCAAATGAGAGATGCACCAGATGAGTGTGCTAAATGGACAGACAGAGAGACCGGCAAATGGATGTGGCATTTTTAATCAAAAGGACGAAAGGTACCAGAGCGAGTGACTATAGCAACATGCGCCTGCGAAATCTCGAACACTTACGTACCATCTGCTCTTGCTAAGTATACTGCTTCTTAATGTGCTTTTGCTCTGTGCATTTTTCCACTTTTACTAGTTGAAATTCATGAGAAGTGATGCGATCAGGGGAGGCGCCCAGGGTTTCCTGCAATTGGGAATAGTTAATTTGCTCAGTTCTATACATGTATTCAATTGATTAAAGTTGAAATTTATTGAACTAAATCTATATTAAAAGTGTAACCGACTAAATGACACTTGGTCCCATCTCTACTTCCACGATTAAGAGTATTTTTCACCACTACTGCATTAATCAGATAGAGATGAGGCAGATGGTTGGATGTGATATAGAAATCAAAAGTGAAAGGCAGCAGTGGAGGAGGAGGATCCTTGGTAGTTATCCAATTTTATGAATTCAGAATTTATTGTAAAAGTATGCTATGTATTGTATATGATGGATAATTGCCTAAATAAATAAATAAAAAATAAATAAAAATGACTAAAATTAACGCTAAACTTTCGATGGAATCAAAAACGAAAGATAGGTACTGTCGCAGGCAGTAATTTCGATTGCATATGATATGATATTACTGCCCACTGGGTGTATTAATTATTATTATGATTATGGTGGTCTACAGACTACAGACTGCAACTTTGAACTTATAAGTTATATTTATAACTATAGACTATAGTCTATACTAATCACTAAATCAGTACAAACGTGGTGTTCTATAATAGTATAACCTTTAAATACTATTTAAGAAAATGAAACAGTTTTATACAGCCAGAAATAACTACTTCTTGAGTTTTATACGTTTTGATTTAACTGATGTATGCGCTACAAACGTAGGCATACATGTGCACACAAACTGCACTGCAGTTCGAACTCTACAACCGACATTCAATGATTCATTATCCTTTATCATTTATGTTAATTACGCATTACTTGTGCTTATATGTTAATCAAACATGCCTAAGAGACCTAACGTCGATTTACCACAGTTATAAAGGCATTATATATAGTTTAGTTTGTTAAAAAGATCACCTAAAATACTGTCCTGGCTGTATAGCAGTCACCAACCGGCGTCTCTTTTACGCATAAACATGGCGCCACAGCGGTGGCGTTTCACTTCTCTGTATATATTGTTCTCAGGAACTAACCAGCTCCGGTACGAACCGTGCTGCCATCTTGCGGCCCACACCGGCGGGACGCCGGGCAGCAGTAAGCCAAGCTTAACAGCCGGTTCTACGGGAACTATTTAAAGCCTAGCGTGGACCGGTGATGCTACCAGACATCGGCGCTCTCTTCCCTCTCAGCCTCCCGCGCGCTCTCTCTCTCTCTCTCTTTCTTTCTCTCTCTCTATCTCCCACACGTGCACCCGGTGTATTTGTACTAGTGTAGGTCGCGGGCTTCAGTAGCTGAGATGAGGAGGCAGCAGCGAGCAAGGCTGGACTGCAGACTGGAACATACAGACACGGCGATGTAACGACGCGGGCAACGTAACGCAACGCAACGCAACGTAACGTCATCGACACGCAACGTAACGCAACGCAACGCAACGTAACGTCATCGACACGCAACGTAACGCAACGTAACGTAACGTAACGTCATCGACACGCAACGTAGCGCAACGTAACGACATCGACACGCAACGAGAGGTGAGTGATCGTTACTGCATGCACTAGCTCTCCCGTCCGTCTGACGGAGAGATAGAAGATGATCGGCTTGTCATCCAAGGATTGTCGCTGAACCTAATAACTTCACTTAAATCTTTCGTGATGGGCAAAATAAAGCACGTAAATGCGTATGTAGTGCACTGATAAATGTTAACGGGGGAATGGCGGACGTAAGATGAAATCAGGGGTGAATACGGACAGAATCTGTTATTATTTACCCCTGATGAAATATAGAGAACGATAGAACGTATACGCGTACGTAGTGCGTAGATGAAAGATAGTTAACAGGGAAATGGTGCAGGTACGATGTAATAAAGATAAGCTGGTCTTACGGGTTCGTTCTGCGGGACTCAGCGGAATAGCAGCAGTCCGAGCTAAGAATGACTCTGCAAGGACAACTTCGCACTTCACACAAACACACAAACACACACACGCCCCCCCCACGCAAACACACACACACACACACACACACACACACACACACACACACACACACACACACACACACACGCGCGCGCGCGCGCGCGCAAACTACTGCCGGCGTGAAATGAGCTGCTGTTTAAAAGAAAAACATCATTAAGCACTCATAACGCCGAGGCTGTTTGAAAGACGCGGATGGAAGGCTGGTCATGGACGAGCAATAACGCTGTTACAGCAATCACGAACCGCACGAACACAAACAAATACTGATGTTTGTGTTTCTCCCTCTCGTGTTTTTGACAATCTCGTTACGGGCCGCAACCTTACTCTCGCTCGGTTGATGGACACAGAGAAGAAAGAAATCTGTTCCTATACTGTTCTATAATTAGATGTTATATTGTCTACACGGGTTGTTAAAGGCCGCAAACTATAACCAACTAACTCACTCCATAGATGTGTGAGATGCCATATGTCAACGTGTGTTAGATACATATACTTATTCTGATTATTTTTCCTATTACTTCACTTGAATATGGTTTCTAGGTCGGTTAGACCAAGTTAGACGAGTTTTAACTCATCACTGAAACGACGACTTTGCGGCACTTCGTTGCAAAACATTGTTTTTATATCGTCATGTCGAAACGACGGTTGGTTAAACCCGCCTGTCAATCACACGAGACGGATAGATCTGACAGCAGAATTTACCGGCAGTTAAGACGTTGTAGAGCACAGAGAGAATTAAACACAGAGAGAGAGAGAGAACGGGAGAGATCTGATTTCCTCACAGTTATTCTCCTCTCATCTCGAAACCAACACAGGGAACGTGCGGGTAGACATGCGCAAATATCAAACCAAAGTACAGACAGTACACCAGCTTACACCACGGGCATTATTTACCAAACCATTAGTACCGCGTGGATTTAGCAAGCGATTTGTAGCAAGGGTTATATAAGCATAACCGAAAACATTCAAACATTCATGTGTACAGCCGGATATGTGCCGCATTGATGAAAACACGCGGCCGTTGACTGGATTGCCATGTTCAAGGCGTCTCTGCACCACATGTAAAATTCTAACATCTTCCAGTAGTCGTCTATGGTACAGAGATATATGGCTAATAGAGCTGAGAGGGTCTATGCCCCAAAGGGTACTGCCGAAACGTACCCTGGGTACGGTCCGGTATACCGGAGCGTACCCTGGTACTATCTAATATGCCGGACCGTACCTCGCCTACTCCACTAACGAGTCTAGGGAGTCGCTTACGCCTACTCCCTAACCCTAAGCTTAACCCTAACCCTAACCCTAACACTAATTCTAACCCTAACCCTAACCCTAACCATATCAAATAGTTACCAGGGTACGTTCCGGTATACCGGACCGTACCCGGGGTACGTTCCGGCAGTACCCTGGGGGGCATAGACCCTATGAGCGCTACTAGAGAGAGAGAGAGAGAGAGAGAGAGAGAGAGAGAGAGAAGAAGAGAGAGAGAGAGAGAGAGAGAGAGAGAGAGAGAGAGAGAGAGAGAGAGAGAGAGAGAGAGAGAGAGAGAGAGAGAGAGAGAGAGAGAGAGAGAGAGAGAGAGAGA